TACTCCATAAACTCCAATGCAGGAAATGTTTAGGGGATAAGACTTTTTCCCTCAGCACATTTAATCTTAACAAACAGGATAGAGGGGACAGGTCGAGAGGGTCAGAGAAACCATCACAGGTAGCAGACAATGTATAAGCTCAGACATAATCTGCCTTTTTCTTACTAATACCAATGATAAATTTGGACAAAAAACATCCCCTGAGAATCACTTAAGAAAAACAACATTCAGAAATGGATGCCAAGATATAGCACCAAATGGCAGCCCTGCCGGAGACTAGCTCCTGTTCTTCTGGGAGAGAACGACCCCAATGCTTTAAATTAAATTCTCGCCAGTGGAGGCTAGTACATCTTATGTTGGCGATATATATAAATAATTGAAGTTCTCTAATCTTACACTTTATATGTGACATTTTTGAAATGATACAGATCATCCGGGCATTCTTGAACACAGCCCTAGGCATAGCCAGAATGGAAATATGCAACCTTGCTACCTGGATTATGGAGATATATATCAATTTATTGCAAGCCCTCCCTTTCTAAACCCCCCCCCCACCCGTGACTTTCTGTGTCTGTCCTATCACAGACCTTCCAATGCAGCTCAATAAGAAGTCTTTGCAAGGCAGGTGCTCTGAGAAATCGCTGTCTCTTGCGTTTAGTTCCAGAGAGCTAAACAAACCAGGAAGTAACAGGACCAGTTGTCTGATTGTTGGGAATAGGTGTAACAAGGTTCATTTATCAAAGTGACAGTTTCTATTCATGTCTGCACTTTTTGTAAAATAGAAAACAAAACCAGGACACCCTCGTCACACAGAAAACACGTTAGCGAGCTAAAGACGGATACAAAACGAAAGGGATGTACACATCCCTTTCGTTTTGTATCCATTTTCACTAGGGGTTATCCCCCTCTCTTTGTGTACCTTGGCTGTATTTCAGACAGCGTTTCTTAGCGAGCTAAAGACTGTTAGATGCTTAGAGTATCCTTTTAAATGTAGAGATACAGCTGAAAATATGCACAACGGGGAAGTTCCTCACTAAATTCGCTGCCCGCTGTTATACTATCCCAGAAACAGGCTAAAAACTTCCACTTAGATGCTGTAACTCAGCTTCCGAAATCACTACTGTACATTGCGGTGTCCTGCTGTGCTTTCAAACCTTCTCCTTGCTCTATAGGATCACATCAAGAACATCTATACCACATACCTGCGATGTGACCTCTACTACTCCATTTATTATAGGACAATCTAGCAGTGAGAGGTGAAGTGGACCTTCCTTGAGATTTGTGCTTTAGCTTCAGTATTCAAATGTTTAATTTGTTTGAGTATTAGTCTGATCGTAAACCGTTGCGGTGTATTTCCCCCTATAGTCCTCCCTCCTTGAGGGTAACAGAACACTAAGACAGCCACCACGATACTACTTCTTAATCCCTTTATATTCATATTCATTATGTGTGTACCTTACATATAAATTGTTCACGTGTCATTATGTGGTCACTGTGACATTCCCAGAATACCTCACCTCTCCAGTCAGTAGGTAGTTGACCTCCAGGGTCAGATCCAGGAACCTCTCGTTCATCTGATTCCGGTTTGTGTTTGTCATCATTAAGCCGATCAGGCAGCCTTAGAACAGACTCTGGGGTTGTGCACACAAATTAGAAGATTCTGTGACTCTTAAATGACAGATACATAATGCATTTTAATTTACACATTACACCTGAAATAAAATGAGAGAGACAATTAAATTTAAACTTGTATGTACGTAGTGGGGAATCCCGATGCAGCCTAGCACAAATCTAAACCCATTTACCCCCCCCCCAATAACGACAGACCACTTAGTATGGATGAACAGGCCACAGCATTTATTATCACAAACTAAATTACTGCATAACACATCCATAACTTTATTTATTAAATCTCTTCTTTCTGTAACCAAAACGTTAGACATAAATAAGCATAAATTAACATATATACATATATAACTCCACCCATAGTGTTATACAGTGACCCAACCGTCCTTGCCAATAAATATACAGTGGTTCCTAATCACCACTTCCTCTCACCTCCCCCCTCGTCATAAAAATCATATATTTTCAATGCCCGCCATCAGCCGACCTTATCCACGCTCGATGGGCACGACACCTCAGGCAACCTAATGTTTAACCTTTTGAAGCAGGGGAGGTTGAGACCTAAAAAAACTTGTTCATCTCATTCCATATACTTAAACGTAACCACACCCCCTCCATGAAACAGGTGCCAGACCACTGAACCCCCGCTCCCGAAGGCGTAAGATCCAACCACTCGCCCCCGCCTCCTGGCCCAAATTACAAACGAGCATCCCACCATCCCCTTTTCCGGGGGGACCGTAACCGCGGTGAGAAATCCATTTGGAGACCAGCAGGGTGAACCTGAAGGAACCCACCACCCTGACTCACACCATTCGAGCCCCCTGAACCATTGGCGCAGGCACGCCAAGCCTGGCGGCGACCGTAGCCGTCCCAAACCAGAATAAATGCCCCTTGAACTCCCCACCATCCTTCAGGCAAATGATGGAAACCTGCACCACCCCTGATCGGAACAGAATTTATCAGACTATCCTGTGAACTCCTTACATCGTGTTAGGAGCCCAACCATTACCCCGTGCATTCCATCTACTGTAGGAGAATGCGGAAAGGCCAGGGCATGTCAACCTCGCAACATCCAAGAATTGCACCGATTCCATCGACGAATCAGCCACACACCGCAACTGAGTTACCCGTTGAGCGGCGAAACCTGAAGTAAGTCCGTCCACCAAAACACCCCACCACTTGCCGACGACCGTAACATGAACAGGAAGCCAAGCCCTGCCAATCGCAGAAATCACCCCCAGCGCCCTTAACAGACGGAACCAAACATGTAGATGAGCAGTCCACTCCCGGAACCCCCAAGGAAACGTTCCCATCCGTCCCGATCACTCCCACCATACTGGAGCGGGCCCCACGCCGCCTCATAGGTCGACCCACGGACCAGCTTCATCAGACCGTTGGACCAAGCGACCACCTCCACTGCCCTAACATCGACCCCGCGACACCTCTGCCCGAAGTAAGCCCTATAATGACCAAGACAGACCGTTGGCCACCACAATGGGAATACCCGGACAAAAAAACCCTGACCAGCCGTCCCCAGACTCAAACAGCGCCAAGCCAGGCGCCGCAACCAGAGTAAAGGGTAAAGGGTACTGTCACATGACAAGCCAACCCGCACCGCCCCACGATGGTCCCAAAGGAAAACCCACCCACCTGTTCGAGAGCTGGGCACCCCATGCCTACCATGCCACCAGAAAGGGGAAGCTCAAAGAACACCAGAGTCCGCCGGGCAAGAGTCAGCACACCATTGAGAGCCAAAATGTCCCAAAACCCCCCAAAACTTGCTGCAGCAGCAAACAGCTGGAAGTCAGCGGAAAAGACTTAGGGGGCCAGAGTGCATAAGCCACCGTTAAGGGAGGCCCAGAAGGAATCCCATACAGTCTCATGGGCAACCCCAACAAGCAAAGCCCAGTGTACCCAGGAGAGTCCAAAGGTAGTGCAGCCTAAACCCACAACGCCCCTCAAAACCACCGACGCCTCCTACCCGATGTCCCAAACCGCAGTCAGGGGCAACCGACGTCCCGTTGCAGGAATCGATCCCACTATCCAGGAGACTACAGCCCGTATCCCGACCTACGGATATGGCCCAGGCCACGGAACTCCGAAACTCATAAAACTACACCAGGAAAAAACACAGCAGCAGTGCGGACATGCGGCACCGACGGCCCCACACATAAACGACATCGGGAGCAACCCACGTGGAGGCACATCCACCCAATCCTGACCGTCGGAAACACAACCTGGAAACAATCAACCCGACGGGCATACCGGCAGCAGCCGGAAAACTGATTCCACAGCCGCCTTTGTCAGCAAGGCCCCGCAGCCCCACCCACGCAGCCCGCTGCGCCGAGCCACCATCCCAAACCTAGCCCCTGGAAGGAAACGACAACTGAGTAAATAAGGAATCTGGCGATACCGACCCTGCTCCTCCATGGGCAAATAACCTAAGGGGGGACCCCGCAGAGCGGACTCCAGGGGCACCCTAAACAACCAGGAAGTAAACTTATCAAGCGTTCTTGGTAAACTGGACCCACATTGCCCGATGGAGTTCCCACATGGACTGAGGGCCCTGCACCGAGAGCACCCACGTCCCCCATCCCGACAGATTGCAGAGAGGACAAAAAACATGCCGTGCTGAGGTGCCAGATGAGCCCCAAAGAAAACCAGCGTCCGTCGCACCACCAACCGTTGACGAAAGTGCAAAACCAACTCAGCTCATCCCAGGGACGATACGCGTCCCGAGAGTGTCCTGACCGCAGAACCACGCAGCACAGACTCAGGGAGCCCTCTCCCCGACCATGCTATCCAGAAACCGGGGTGCATCCGAATATGCGCCCTGGGGTGTGTCCGACCACAGCATGCTCCCCACGACCCTCCCAGAGCCCCTAATGTCCCCCTTAGTCAAGGGACTCCCGTGGCAGGAGGGAACATACCTGCAATAAAAACCCATTCTCCATCTGCTCCCTAGTGTTACGCGCAAGCCAAGCGGGCCACATGAGCTCAGCAGCCCCAGAGTCACGTGAACCTGAGAGGCATCGCCGGCACTATCAGCTGCGCCAGACGCTGCGGGAAAGCGTGCTTAAACGTATGATACATACTGAAAACGGAGAGGGGTACTTAAATTTTGTTTTATTTTGGATTCGATCTCATTTTTTTTATTTTTTATTCTCCCCCTTGTACTTGACGTTGGATTCCTTTTTTTTTAATTTTTTTAATTTTAGTCCAATAGGTAATTTACATTTTATTTCTGTCCTGTAATTTTTTCTCCGTTTGTATCAATTTTTTTTTTAATTCTTTCCTTTCTGTTTTTTTTTTGGGGGGGAAGAAAGGAAGAAAGAACGTATGCACGCAAAGCGCTAAAAGAAGGGAAATGTACTCACCGGTTGCAGCCTGGTGATCCAAGCCCGGCACTGCGCTCACAGAAGGCTGAGGCAAAGAAACAGCAGTTCCAGCATCCACAGAAGACATCAGCTGTGATCCAGACGCCACCTGCTGGACGGATCCACGAACTGCAGCAGTATCCTGGGAAGAAGCAGCAGAGATCAGCCCACGCCCCAGAGGAGATGGCTGAGGTAAGTGACCTGCGGGGGGGTGGGGAGGGGGGTTCAGGCAAGCTAGAGGGGAAAGGAGAGGGGGGAGAACAGAGAGGATGCAGGTAGGGAGGGATAGAGAGGGGGGAGGATTAGAGCAGGAGGGGGGGGATGCAGGCCCACCAGAGAGGTGAGGGGGGGGTGCAGGCCCACCAGAGAGGGGAGAAAAACTGGGCAAGAGGAGGGGGGACCAGGCAAGTGTAAGCTGGGCCCCCCAGAAGAAAAGGAAAATACAGTAGCACTAACAGGGAGGGAAGGGGAGACAGAGCCCTGGGAGCCTTCCTCACTGGCAGAGGAGGCTCCCGATGGGCAAGGGGACCCTCCCAGACCCCCACGGCGGTACAAGGTACGAGGGACCTGCACAGATCGCCGGATCTGCCGCCCACCGCCCCCGGCCCACAATCCCAGGCTGGCGGCCGGGGCGGACGGTGTGGAGGGGGGAGCTTGAGAATGCCGCACGGCGGCCGCATCCCCGGCCTGGAAGTAGCCGGCCGGGCAGCCATGGGGGTAGCAGGCCGCGCGGCAGTGGCAGGCCTCGTGGCCGCAGTAGGCCTCAAATCCCGGCCCTCAGTAGTAGGCCGCGTGCCTGGAGCCCCAGACACGCGGCACCCGCGGTGCCCTGGTCCCAGGCTCCTGCTCCTCAACCGTGCCCGGGGAGTAGGATCCAGTGACAGCCTGGCAGGCGGGCGGGAACGCCTGCCAGTGCTGGTGCGGCCCCCAGGGGCATGGGCCACATGGGAGGCAGCAGGGGAGACCGCAGGGGGTGCTCCAGGGGGAGGTAGGCCGCGGGGGGTGCCCACACCGGTAGCCATACCTCCAGTAATGCTCTGGAATTGCTCCCTTAGGTGCCGGCCACCATCGACGCTGCAGCAGCCCCGAGGGACAACCGGATCACCTCAACATCCATCCCTCAAGCTGTGTAAATCTGCAGGCCCAGGCAAACAGCAGCTGGAGGACAGGAGGCTGTTTGCTGGTCCGAATCCCAAGTGGCACTGAGGTAAGACCTCCCCCACACTAACTTACACAGAACATAATCCCACCCACACGCTCTCTTTTCCAACCAATCCCATGCATCTATCCCCACATTCCTACATGTGCCCTTGTCCGCTTAGCTGCGCTATCTCCCCAGGGCCTTAACCACTTAATCTTTGTGCTGTCATGTGTTGTGTAGTGAGATTCTTGATCAAATGTAACACTTGGTGTGATGTATGGAGAATAGTGGGATGGCCCAGAGTGATAGTAGTATCAGTCTCAACAGCCATTGCACAAGCAGCCAGGGCCCTAAGACACGCCGGCATCCCCTGAACCGGAACAGGGACTACTTTGGAGAAAAATGCTACAGGACGCATACCACCTCCATGTTCCTGAGCACAGACCGCAGCCATGGTTTTACAGTTGTCCCTTGCATAAAGATGAAATGGTTTACAATAGTAATTAGTGTAATTAGGAGGGGGCAGTGATTTGCAGGTATCAACAACATTCTCTTTAATATTCTTTTTATTCTTTTTTATCCCTTTCCCCTCTGGGGAAACAGGGTACCAGTGAGCCAATTCTCACCCCCCTGTCTCATGTATTCCTTGTCCCATCCTGGATCTCCCTCATACCAAGGAAAAGATTTCTTATCTCCCAAACATAATCCCTTAACCAAACTCAGAAAATAATCATCATTAGCCCCGTCTTTAGGGAAGGGAGTTTAACTACCCTGTCCTTGTGTCCACCCTGACATATTGTCCACCCAAGGATCCACTAAATAATTCCCCAGTTCACCAATTCTAGCAAAATACTGTTTGCAAGTCTCCCCTGGATTAGTGCGAGGGTATTTTTTAGACTGGGAAGTACCCATTTCAAACTCAATGAGAATTGGATTTGGAATAGCTGATTATTCGGTGGTTAAAGAACAGCTGTCTGGAATCAAAAGTTCCCACAAAACTGATACTTCTCCACGAGCTGTATCGCTGAAAACCAGAAATTCCAATCCCTTGCACGGTTATATAAAAAACCCCACAAAAGCCAACAGATATATCGCATGCAAAACAGAGGTTGCAGGACAGCCAAAATACCCATCAAGTACAGAGTTAAAACAATTCCGTCTTTTTTTTTTTTTTCTAAACCATTTTAGCCTGCCAAATTTACATGTACGTTATATAAAAACACAGTCCACCAAAGACTGAAAATCTGTTTTACAACCTGCCAAAGGCAACCTCGTTCAAATAGGGATCTAGGGACGTCTCCCATAGACAATTATACACAAAGGCTCTCCTCCTACCCAAGGAGTGATACCATATTAAAACCTAAAAAGTGAAAATCCCCTTTGAATAAAAACGTATCTATGCAATGTATAAAGGATGGAAAAAGAAAAAGAAAAGAACAAAGGTCAAATAGACACCTAACCCTCTTACCTGATCTTTTTCATTCCGTTCAAATGCACCCCAAAAACTTCTGACACCAGTTTGTAGGGGATAAAATCAGCTGTACACGAAACCCTCTTGTGAGATGGATATTTTGTCGGAGCCACACCCTCTTTGTTAGACTGGCTCCTGGGAATCAGTCAAGAAGACAAGAGACGTGTTCAATAACCAATTCAAATTGTATTCATACGTCAGTTATATTTATACCCCATTTTCATGTCGGTGGGGGCCATGAGCATTAGTGACAGTTTGTTTTTCACGAGTTATAAACAGCTGTTTCTAGTTATAATTCAGTGTTATATAATGTATGCATATTGGATAAAACCCAGATGATTACAAATACCGAAATCTTGGACAATTAACAAGAACATTTCGAAATCATTGTCCAAGAACATTTCCCGTAAATAGGATTTTAGATCAATTTTATTTCCGAGAATCGGAGTTACAATTCCAAATTTATTCTTGGTTCAAATTAACCCTTATATGAACAGCTAGGATATTAAGCAAAATGGATATTCATATCCTACACCAGATATCAGCCCCAGTAATTACTGTCATTGGGAACAATCAGCACTGTCTGACTGTGAGAATTGGGAGCTAATTAATAAAGAAATTAATTATTGATCTTTAACAGCCAAACTAAAAGAGATACATGTTTAGATATTCAGCTATAATATCTGCCAAGTGCCCTGAATCCAGAGAAAGTCCTGATTTTGTCCAGACATTTTGTTTCCTTCTTTTATTTAATGTCCTACTTCTCGGGGCAGCGCAGGAATTCCTAATAAAATGTAGTGTTAGATTCTTGTAGATTGGCATGTTGTTTAGGCAGCGAACTCGTCTCCTACGGCTCCTGTATGTCAGACATGGTTTGACAGAATTAATGGTCTGTCTTGGTTTTCTGCTGTGCAGTGCTGTGGAATATGTTGGTGCTATACAAATAATTGTAATTATTAGCATGTTTAATGAACATGCCAAGCACCGTAACCAAAGCTAACTGCACCACGCTGTAGTGGTTATGGTGTCAAAAGTGCCCTGGTGCCCCCCAAACCCACAGTTAGGCTTCTCTCTGACAGCTTCTGGCTCTCTGACTTAGGTAGTAGAGGCGGGGCGTGGTGCCCAGTAGACCCAGATAACAAGTCAAACCATTTTAAACGGTTTGACTCCTTACAAACGAAGGGGGGAACAGGATCACCCCTGGGACTGAAACTAAAATATAATGCAGCGAAATCAATAGCGTAACAAATGATGATCCTTACTACTTAGTACTGGGTCCCATCCAATCAAATGCTAATCAGAAAGCAGAACTGAGGATAAATAGCATTTACTAAATTCAGTGCATTATTATTACTGGGTACCTGTACATTATGTCTATTTTGTCCATAATTTACCCTCATTAGATTGAAATTAATATAAATGGTAAGGAAGTGTTAGTATGACAGTGTACACAAGGCTTTATTAGGTTTTTTAATCCCATTAGTATAAGTTATTCTATAATTATCATTCTCTTCTCACTGACTGGAGTTAACTAGACTCGTATATCAGTAGCTGGTGGGAATTTGCAGCTGTGCAAGAGAGACTCGAAGCAGATAAGTGAGAATTTTAACAAGCATAGAAACGTATTTACAAAATACACACAATATAGAGAATGGCTACATGCAGGCCCGGACTGGCCTTCTGCCAACGGGCTGCGGTGGCCATGGGCCGAGGCCAACCAGGGAGAACACAAAATCTCCCAGACCGGCCGCTTCAGGACTGACAGAGAGAGAGTTTCGCAGCCAGCGTGGAATTCGAGGATCTCCCTCACCATCCAGTCCTCGGTACTGCCGGGAGCCCAGGGAACATGAAGTGTACTGAGTCCCTAAACACACACACTACAGTCGTTATCCCCTCTACACAAATACACTACAACCCATTCCCCACACCACTCAAACATGCATCTCTATGAGCTATGAGGAGGTGCTGATTGGCCAAAACGTTGGCCAAAACGGTGCTGATTGGCCCGTCCCTTGCCAATTTTAGCCCATCCAATGCTGTCCCTATGTGGCTATTGTTTGTTCATAATAAATATTCCTTTATCAAGTTCTGCCTTTGTCTGGTAGAGACTCACCTTACCTGGTTAGACCAATTTACTAGTATTTTGACATCGTGTTAAATCATTTTTAAAATCAAAAATGCACTAAATCCCAGTGTGTAACAGTCAAACACCTGTGTGGTATCTCCTTAAACCGCTCCAACAGACTAAAATAGTCAAAATATACAATACACAATAGGTGGAGTGTACCACGTCAAATAGGAGATGTATATGTTAAAAAAAAAAAAGAACGATCTGTAGGATGAAAGGAACAGAGAAATAATAAATACTAATTAAATATTTCTTAAATTCAAAATTGAGGTGTATAAATATGCAGATGTTCACTCTCAAAATCAGAGCCAGTAACACTAGGCTCAATATCTGGGCTTGATGGGATATTGTCAGGGACCCCACTCCCTCTTCTGTATCCTGGTTGAAATTGTCTTTAGCTCCAAAAAGTAATCCATCGGGCGTTGTGGATACAGCAATTTGATTTGAGCATAAAACGGATAAAAAGCAAAACGCAGGAACAAAATAAACATAAAATAAAAACCCTACACTTCGATTCAAAACGCGTTGAAATTGTGCATTCGGTTTCCTGGGTCAGTGGTACTTTTAAATATTTTTTAAATTGTCACCTTCTGATACTTCCTTGAACATCAGGGTCAGTGGCGTACACACAACCCACGGGGGCCCGGTGCGAAAACTGATCCGCGGGCCCGCCCCTCCCCCCGCGCTTACTCTGCGCGGGCCGGGGCTGCAACACATCTCGGCAGGCACCTGGTCGCGGTATGTACGCCAGTGTATGCAGATACACATACACTTAAAGGACCACTACAGACACCCAGATCACATCAGCTCAATGCAGTGATTTGGGTGCCAGGCCCCTCTAGTTTTAACCCTGTAGCTGAAAACATAGCAGTTTCAGAAAAACTGCTATGTTTCACTGAGGGTTAATCCCGCCTCTAGTGGCTGTCTCATTGACAGCTGCTAGAGGAGCTTCTGCGACTCTCACTGTGAAAATCACAGTGAGAAGACGCTGAACGTCCATAGGAAAGCATTGAGTAATGCTTTCCAATAGGCGGTTTGAATGCGCACGCAGCTCTTGACGCGCATTCAGAGCTGAGAGGCGGATCAGGGCGGAGGGATCCCCAGCGCCAAGGGAGTCTGGCGCTGGAGAAAGGTAAGTTCTGAAGACACGCACACTGTCACGAACAGACGCATACACACTAGCTAACAGACACACACTCTCACGAACAGACGCATACACACTAGCTAACAGACACACACATTTACTGACAGACACACACTCAGTGACAGACATACATATACACTCACTGACAGACAGACACATACACACTCACTTACAAAACACACACTCACTAACAGACACCAAACAGACGCACACAAATGAACACACTCGGTAACACACACACAGTAACACACTCACTGACACAAAAACTAACACACACGCACTCTAATACTAACACACACACACTCTTACACTAACACATACACTGACACAAATACTAACAATAACACATACACACTCTAACACTAACACACACACTGACACTAACACACACACATACTCTAATACTAACACACACACACTAACACACACACACACGTTTAAAAAAAAAAAATGCAATCCCCAAGCCTCCCTACCTTTGGGATTGCTGAGGGGATTCCCAGGGGTCCAGTGGTGCTGCTGGGCGGCCGGTCACCGGGCAGGTTGGCGGGCGCGCGAGGGAGCACTCTCCCCTGAGTGCTCCCTGTTCAGCTCCCTCACGCACCGCGTACTGATGCCGGAGCCGGAATATGACTTCAGGGCCAGCCTCGGGGGGCCCTGAGTTGGCCGGTTCCTAGGCCCCCCAGGAGCAGAGTGTAGCGGATGGCCTGTGACTGTCTGCCAGAATTATATTTTAAAAGACTGTTCACATGTTTAAACTGCCTGTACATTGAAAATTGCATATATGTTCGTATGTTAGTTCGGTAGTTTCATTCATAGTTTATACGAATGGAAACTACCGAATGCATAGACCACCTTAGAGAAGAAGTTAGTCCCTAGTTAAACCCTTATTCTCTTTCTAACCGCAGTTAATTGATGTTTTATTGCTGTATCTGGGTGGCTGCCATTCGGTAGACGAACACGCGGCGGCAGCCATCTTACGCACGAACTCTCAGCGGTGTTTGGTCGTTGAGTGTCTGGAACCCAAATCGGACACTCAATTGCGTGAACACCGCTGAGACCTCCAGAGCTCCAGAACTCACGAACGGAGGGACTAATCGACTCCCCGTTCGGTGAGTTCAATATACCGAACAAGGGGGTTCGTGCGAACCCGGTATTATCTATGGATGGCAAGGATTTCTACCTGTTTTACCTCCCAAACGCAGACCGACCGCAGGGCCAAAATACATGGAACTCCTTTCGGCTACATAGTCATGTGCGGTCGGTCAAATCGTTTATTACCTATAACTCCCGAACCCCTGGTCTGATCTGGGTGAATTTCGAATATGTTAGTCACCCAGACCAGGGCTACCAGGGGATGCCACTTAAGTTCTGGTACCCCACGGTTTTGGGGTACATCCAAGAAACAGGGGAAAAGGTGCCAGGATTAAGTGGATTAAGTGTCACACTGAGGGGAGGGAAAGTAGGTGAGGGAACCTCTGTATTATTGGTTACTGTTATAATTACTGTAAATCCCTCCCTTGCATGGGAGAATCCTTTATAAGGAGCTGCTGTGAATAAATCTTTAGTTCTGCTCCTGATGCTGTGTGTCGTCCAGTCATTGGGATTGCGTTTGGGATATTGTTGGAGACTTTTTGCCTGCTGGAATTATTACTCTGTGGATTTATTATACTTGTTCCTGAGCCTTACTGGGATCTACAGTGGAGATAGGCTATGCAATACTAGCTCTCCGCTACACAGAGGCTGGCCACACTGGGTACATACCGGATCGCAGGGCAGCCGGGCCCCCTGGTGGGCCGGGCCCGGTCGAAGCTGCGACCCCTGCGACCCCGGTATGTACGCCACTGATCAGGGTCTTACATATGACATTTAAATCGTGTGCCTACGTCCACGCTGGAACGCATAGTTATGTTCTATAGGCGGCGTCCTGACATTGCGTGTCCTTGTTGGGACGTCTCATTACATTATTTCTTTGTTATGCTCTGCAGTCTAGGTAACCACTTCCCTTTAGTATTGGAACACAGTGTTGCGTTCCACTTCTAGTATACAGCATTTCTTGAGGATAAGGCTCCGTTATTTTCTCAAAAGTTCATAATAAACCATGTGCACAAGAAGAAAAGTGCTAAAGATAAAGGGACACTTTAGTCACCAGAACAACTACAGAACGGAAGGGATCAGCGCTCTCTATCTATACAAGATACAACAGAAACAATAATAAATAAGTAAAAAGTGGCAGCACACCTAAAAAGTAGGGCTCCCTCACAGGCCTTACAACAGAAATGGTACAGAAAAGCTCTTGAAAACGTGAGTAGGACCATATACTCTTTTATTGCTTTTACCCCTTTCGGGACATACTGCACCATCAGTCATTTTTTTATTTCATATGATGTACAAAGACACATCTACACCACTCTGAAGAATCCCCCACTACTAAAGACTGTATTCACCTCTACAAAGATATACCTCGTTGTTTGATTCCTCTACCAGTCAGACTATTTATTCTGGACTTCTATTTGCTTATTATCTATTATATATATTGCATTCTAGTCTGCCTATTCTGTGCTCTTTTAATTTATGTGGTTTGTAGTGGCGCTGCCTTCCTTTCTTTTTTCTGTACCAGAACAACTACAGCTTATTGAATTAGTTCTGGTGAGTAGAATCATTACCTTCAGGCTTTTTGCTGTAAACACTGTCTTTTCAGAGAAAATGCAGTGTTTACATTACAGCCTAGTGATAACTTCACTGGCCACTCCTCAGATGGCTGTTAGAGATCCTTCCTGGGTCATGGCTGCCTAAAATGCATCCAAACATTCAGTGTCTCCTCCCTCTGCATGCAGACACTGAACTTTCCTCATAGAGATTCATTGATTCAATTCATCTCTATGAGGAGATGCTGATTGGCCAGGGCTGTGTTTGAATCATGCTGGCTCTACCCCTGATCTGCCTCTTTGTCAGTCTCAGCCAATCCTATGGGAAAGTATTGTGATTGGATCAGGCTGTAACTTCTGATAATGTCAGCAGGCAGTGGGCAGGTCTAAAGGAAACAGGGACAAAGTAAACAGCTCCAGACTTAAATACAAGTAAGATTTTACTATTTTTAGAGAGACATGAGAGGGCCAGTGGGGTTAAATGGTGATTTTAACCCTATAGGGTCAGGAATACATGTTTGTGTTCCTGACCCTATAATGCTCCTTTAATTTAGAACATAAATCCACATATATAAAAATATTTATGAAAATTATATTATAAAAATGTACAAAGGAATAGGAAACAGAAAAAGAAAAGGATTCTGCATTATACTAGTTCTCCAACTTAAGATCTTAAAATAGAATATTAGAATAAAGTGGTTTTGAGTGCTTGTGGGAAAAATAATCCTAATTTAAAAAAAAAAATTAAAACGCCTAATTTGTATATAAAGCCGTATATTTGGCAGTGGAATTCTTTTCTTGTTCTATAATGGTGGGGATATCTAATAATAACACGCTTTCTATCTAAAATAGATTAAATTAACTTCTATCCCTGCAACTAACAATCTTTATTTCAACACTGCAGTTTTAACCCCTTAAGGACACATGACATGGGTGACAGGTCATGATTCCATTTTATTCCAGAAGTTTGGTCCTTAAAGGGTTAAGGTATGGACTGGGATTCAGAAGATACCTCACCGGATTTAGACACACACAACAATCTGAGAATTTATAAGAATATGGGGTAATATAAATTAAATATGATTCACATTAAAGAATTGGCTGTATTTCACTGAATAAGACACTAAATAGAAATAGAAGTGAATGCTATATGAAAAGTAGTTACAAGAAAAGTGAGAAAAATGTAGATAAAGGAAAAAGAAAAGGAAGGTGTGTTTTATCTGTCACAAAGTCATAACTGGAATTAATGCACTGAGGAGAATTAAATTACATCTAATTTCACTGAGAAAAAGAAGAAATGCATTAGAATTAGGGAATAGATATTAGAAATGAATGACACATTTAGGTGGACAGAAAGAATACATCTACAAAAGAAATAAGAGGGAATAGGAACCCATTTGGAACTCAATTAAATATTTGGTAAAATTTCCCTTTGTAATTACACTAAAAGAATGGAAGTGGTAATTAAAAATTGCAAAGTAAATTAGTTTAGAAGGGAGAGAGGGAGGCTAAGAAGAAGAAAAAAAGAGGGGGAAGGAATATTTTTTTTTAATATAAGAATATCATTTTTTAGGATCTTAGGATAATTTTGCTCTTCGCATAGAAGGGGTAATATGGGTTATAATATCCCACTAAAAAGGAAAGAAAAATGGAAAAAGAAAAAAAGGGAAAGGGAAGGAAGGAAGGAAAAGAGGAAGAGAAAAAAAGGGAAAAAAACGAAAATTAGGTTAGAAGAGAAAATAATAAGATTTCTTCTAGGTCTCACGTAGGAATCCTTTATTTCTCTTAAAAGTAATTAAATAAAAATAGAGATATAATAACAGGAGAAGAGAAACAAGGAGATGGGAAACTGGTTAGTACTGCCCCAGCTCTAACACCATATATAGTATGGCAATCAGGTTCCACATTTTATTGGGAGAGAATATGTGGAAGTGGAAATGCACAGATGGGTTGTGGAGCTTCCACGTGGTATGTTATTTGTATGTAATTTATGTTAATGTATGGCCAATTATGGATTTATGGATTTTTTGGCAGATCTGGGGCTTGCTGTGAGGGATACGAAATGGTACTGTAAATATAATGGTTACATTTCTAACGTTGAATGTACGAGGTTTGAATTCTCCTCAGAAAAGATAAATTTTGCCTTCATATTTAAATAAGAAAAATATAGATATTTGTGCACTTTAGGAGACTCATTGGAAATTGGAGGACAAAATAAGAGTGAATTCTTTGAGGTACCCATTGGTGATCTCGGCTTCCTTGAACGGGAGGAAAAAAAGAGGAGTGGCGTTCCTATTCTCCAGCAACCTAGATGTTAAAATTAAATAAAAAGAAGAAGATTCTTAAGGCAGATATATTATTGTTGTAGGAGAATTTAATAACAAAACTATGACTTTAATCAATACATAAGCCCCAAATAAAGCACCTGCCAAGTTCATTCCAAAGATATTAAAAAAAGCAGAAAAAATAAAACAATGTTCGTTAAATATAATGGGAGATTTCAATTGCATTATAAACCCTCAAATTGATAAGAAAATATTAACGGGGAAGGTGGAGAATGGGAACGCTACCGCACAAGCAGGGAGATTACAATCGGTTTTGGATAGATATTCTTTATTTTTCTTTATTAGCTATTTCGCGTGTTTTTTTTCTAATGTACATTGCTCGTATCCACAAACTGATTTGATCATGAAGTGATACAGATTTAGCATATCAAACAAAAAAAATGTTATCCAAGAAATTAAACTATGTCAAAATATGGAATCAAATAAGAAACAGATATCGGTGTCCCTATCTAATGAAATTCAAGATATTAAAAATAAGAAACAATTTGTTAGTGGAAAAAACCAATAAAACTTTATATTCTTTAAAAACCCTATGGTACTACAAGGGGAATAAAGCAGATAGAATTTTATCCAATAAACTTTAAAAAAAAGCGAAAAGAAAAAAACTCTCGCTAAAATTATACATGAAGGTAAAACATATCTAGCACCAAACAAAATAGGTAAAACGTTTAACATTTTACAAATATGGATTTACCAAACCCATCTAGTGAGGTATTGGAGCAGCTAAATAGACCTTTCATAGAAGAAGAGGTATCCCAAACTATAAGAAAACAGAAATATGGGAAAGCCCTAGGACCAGATGGTTTTGATGTTTCTTTCTATAAACTATTTACAAAACTATTTAAATGTGTGTATATATATATATATATATATATATATATATATATAAATAAATCCCGATTAAATGGCGTGCCCCAGCTGACTCTGTCATTGGATGCTGAAAAGGCATTTGACAAGGTTGGCTGGGGATATATGGCAGAATCGTTGAAGGCATATGGATTAAGGGAAAAAATATTTCAAGCAATAATGGCACTATACACGGAGGTCGAGTAATAGGATGTGTTATCGTATCACATGGTTTTATTTTACAAATGGAACACAACAGGGGTGTCCTTTATCACCCGTGTTGTATGTCCTCACATTAGAACCTTTTACCAGGAAAATTAGAACCCATCCTAAAATTCAAGCATTTAATAAAATGAATGGTCAGTTTGTCCCTCCGACTCTCTCAATGGCTCTAAGTACATTGACCAGTTGTGGTCCGGAACCCGACTAGAGGCGGGTCCATACTTAGAGAGACTGCAGACACTTTCACACATTACACCACTGGTGAGTATGCATTATTGACATTCCATTGACAGGTGGGGAGAAAAAGTCATCTCTGATTATCTAGGACAATTGTATAGTAATATATTTGAAATCATAAGGGTTATAGAATTTTTATATATGAAAAACCGCTATGGATATTAACATGTTAAAAAATTAACTTTGTATTAAGGATTTAGGGGATGTATCACACTTTTGGTTTTGAACATCTGTCACCATGTCACTGTCAGCCCTTCTTTGTATATGTGTACATTTTTTTCCTGTTTTCTTTAGCCCTTTGATAAAATGCCTTGTTGGTAAATAAGTAATTTTGACTTCACTTAGAAAGTCTGTATCAATATTATCCAGAAGTGAGATTACAAATATGTTTGTCTACAATTCCCTTAAAAATGCACTGAGAGAGATATACAGGTGGAACACAATCTACAGGAATGAATGAAATTTCACCAAATGATAATTTTTCAGCAATATCCCCGCCGAATGGGTTATTAGATAGTGAGAAAAGGTAAATACACTATAATTTTAGTGTTTAAAAATATTTTTTAATGGGTTATGTCTATATATGAGTGTTATGAGGAATTAAGATTATGTATCACTGGTTTGAATGACGTGGCAGTTTTCTAATAAAGTTGCTTCAAATGTAACCGTGTCTACACGGCAAGGATTGGCTGACGTGACACGCATGCGCAGTGGCAACATGCCGCGCACGACGTGACATCATAGGGGCGCGACCCGCCAAACAGGAAATAAAATCTGACCGCATCTCTTCTCAGCAGGGCTATCGAAGGGACTGTTGGGTCCTGAGCGCGCAGCCCGAGCTGTCAAGCAACCTACCGACCAACCACAGGAGAGACCCTGGACCGTACATTGTATCAGGAGCAACCATATATCGCCCGTAGGAGCAGGCATTAACCACTGTTACAGGAACCTTGGCCCTGGAGCCTTGCATACTGCAGCATCTACAGAAGGATTATCCACAGACCGTGCTCCAACTCTACCCCAACTATATATATGGGTGAGATCTAACTAATTATTATGCATATATAATGCCTACTATTGACTTACAGAGTGTGCACACACTGAGGCCGTAAATACATTTTTTGATTCATTTTTTATTATTTTTTCAATTGAGCTCTGCACAGGAAAGGAAAATTGTTTATTTCTTGTATGATGCCAAATGCTTTTTAAGAGAGACCTTTGTACTCATTTTAATCCCTTGCTCAGAAAATGAAAACTGCTTCGCTCCTTTGTGAATCTTCAGATGAGCTGTAAGGTGTGATTTACAAATGAAACATTTTCTGCACTCAGAACAAGAAAATGGTCTCTCTCCTGTGTGAATCTTCAGATGATGCATAAGGTGTGATTTTTGAACAAAACTTTTACCGCACTCAGAACAAGAATATGGTCTCTCTCCTGTGTGACCCCTTCGATGCAAACTTAGAGATGACAAGTGTTTGTAACATTTCCCACATTCTAAACAACAAAACTGTTTCTCTTCTGTGTGCATCTTCAGATGAACTGTAAGTTGTGATTTTTCAGTAAAACATTTTCCGCACTCAGAACAAGAAAATGGTTTCTCTCCTGTGTGAACCCTTTGATGAGAATTTAGCGATGACATTTGAGTAAAACATTTCCCACATTCTAAACAACAAAACGGTTTTTCTCCTGTATGAATCATCTTATGATGTGCAAGTTTTGCTTTACGATTGAAAGATTTTCCGCATTCAGAACAAGAAAAGGGTTTCTCTCTTTTAAAAGTCTGGTCAGGTCTGATATGTGGATTGTGATGTGTAGCAAAATTTGCGTTATAGTTGGAATTGTTTGTCCCAGAATCAATCACTACTTGTTGAGGGTTACTATTCATTACATCTTGAATTTATTATCTAGGACAATTGTATAGTAATATATTTGAAATCATAAGGGTTATAGAATTTTTATATATGAAAAACCGCTATGGATATTAACATGTTAAAAAATTAACTTTGTATTAAGGATTTAGGGGATGTATCACACTTTTGGTTTTGAACATCTGTCACCATGTCACTGTCAGCCCTTCTTTGTATATGTGTACATTTTTTTCCTGTTTTCTTTAGCCCTTTGATAAAATGCCTTGTTGGTAAATAAGTAATTTTGACTTCACTTAGAAAGTCTGTATCAATATTATCCAGAAGTGAGATTACAAATATGTTTGTCTACAATTCCCTTAAAAATGCACTGAGAGAGATATACAGGTGGAACACAATCTACAGGAATGAATGAAATTTCACCAAATGATAATTTTTCAGCAATATCCCCGCCGAATGGGTTATTAGATAGTGAGAAAAGGTAAATACACTATAATTTTAGTGTTTAAAAATATTTTTTAATGGGTTATGTCTATATATGAGTGTTATGAGGAATTAAGATTATGTATCACTGGTTTGAATGACGTGGCAGTTTTCTAATAAAGTTGCTTCAAATGTAACCGTGTCTACACGGCAAGGATTGGCTGACGTGACACGCATGCGCAGTGGCAACATGCCGCGCACGACGTGACATCATAGGGGCGCGACCCGCCAAACAGGAAATAAAATCTGACCGCATCTCTTCTCAGCAGGGCTATCGAAGGGACTGTTGGGTCCTGAGCGCGCAGCCCGAGCTGTCAAGCAACCTACCGACCAACCACAGGAGAGACCCTGGACCGTACATTGTATCAGGAGCAACCATATATCGCCCGTAGGAGCAGGCATTAACCACTGTTACAGGAACCTTGGCCCTGGAGCCATGCATACTGCAGCATCTACAGAAGGATTATCCACAGACCGTGCTCCAACTCTACCCCAACTATATATATGGGTGAGATCTAACTAATTATTATGCATATATAATGCCTACTATTGACTTCCAGAGTGTGCACACACTGAGGCCGTAAATACATTTTTTGATTCATTTTTTATTATTTTTTCAATTGAGCTCTGCACAGGAAAGGAAAATTGTTTATTTCTTGTATGATGCCAAATGCTTTTTAAGAGAGACCTTTGTACTCATTTTAATCCCTTGCTCAGAAAATGAAAACTGCTTCGCTCCTTTGTGAATCTTCAGATGAGCTGTAAGGTGTGATTTACAAATGAAACATTTTCCGCACTCAGAACAAGAAAATGGTCTCTCTCCTGTGTGAATCTTCAGATGATGCATAAGGTGTGATTTTTGAACAAAACTTTTACCGCACTCAGAACAAGAATATGGTCTCTCTCCTGTGTGACCCCTTCGATGCAAACTTAGAGATGACAAGTGTTTGTAACATTTCAGACATTCTAAACAACAAAACTGTTTCTCTTCTGTGTGCATCTTCAGATGAACTGTAAGTTGTGATTTTTCAGTAAAACATTTTCCGCACTCAGAACAAGAAAATGGTTTCTCTCCTGTGTGAACCCTTTGATGAGAATTTAGCGATGACATTTGAGTAAAACATTTCCCACATTCTAAACAACAAAACGGTTTTTCTCCTGTATGAATCATCTTATGATGTGCAAGTTTTGCTTTACGATTGAAAGATTTTCCGCATTCAGAACAAGAAAAGGGTTTCTCTCTTTTAAAAGTCTGGTCAGGTCTGATATGTGGATTGTGATGTGTAGCAAAATTTGCGTTATAGTTGGAATTGTTTGTCCCAGAATCAATCACTACTTGTTGAGGGTTACTATTCATTACATCTTGAATTTCAATAAAACAAGGGAGTGTTTGAATGCAAGTATCTTTCACATTTCCTTCTTCACATGAGGGTGATTCATCTGTAATAAGAGTATATGGATATTCTGTTTGAACATGTTCTCTGGGTTTATAAATGTCAGTGTCTGTGAGCTTTCCCTGTTCACATGAGGCTGGTTCCTCCTGAATATGAAGAGATGGATTTTCTGTCTGTACTGTCGGTGTATAAATGTCAGCCTTATGTGGAGAAGAAAATCTCACATACACTGATTCTTCTTTAATACAAGTAGATTGAATTTCCATCTGCATTTGATCAGCGTTTGTATAAATGTCAGTGTCTATTGGATTTCCTTCTTCATATGAGGTGGATTCCTCCTTAATAATAGTAGATGGATTTTCTGTTTGTAAATGTGTGTGTTTGTCAGTGGTTGTGAGATTTTCTTCTCCACCAAAGACGGATTGTTTCTTCATATAAATAGATTGAATTTCCGTCTGCATTTGATCAGTGTTTGTATAAATGTCAGTGTCTATGATATTTCCTTCTTCATATGAGGTGGATTCCTCCTTAATAAGACTAGATGGATTTTCTGTCTGTGCATGCGTGTGTTTGTCATTGGTTGTGAGATTTTCTTGTCCACATGAGGCTGATTCTTCCTTGTGTCTAAGAGATATGCCTTGTTCCCGTCTTGTTTTATTTTTTCCGATGGGGGCTCTTATATGACCAATTTGGACTTCCTCATTTCTTATTAAATTTGGTTTAGAACCATCTATTGGAAAGAAATACACATAGAGTTAGAAGTTTTCCTTAAAGTCACATGCATCACTGGATATTTTATTTATCTGGCAAACCTTTTTATCGTAATATACAAAATAAAATACAGCAGGAAAAGGTTGAAAATGTAATAAATATTTTCAAACCATAAAATGGTTTCAGTATTTCTCTGACGAACCTCTGATCTAAGAAAGCTTCTTCATCCCCCCCACCTTTAACCCACTCATCTCAGTTTCATGTTAACTAGCAGAAGCCAGGGCTTGACAAATTTGCTTTGAATCTAGGAGCCAGGTAAAAAAGTTAGGAGCCAGATTCTTTTTAAACTTACATAGCTCTAAATTCAATGACAAAAATAAAATTCTTAAAGTGACACGGTAGTCACCAGGACCACTAGAGCTTAATGTAGTGGCTCTGGTGTATGTAGCCTGTCCATGCAGGCTTTTCAATGAAAACACTGCCCTTTCTCTGTTTACATTGCTTCCTAGTGACACCTCTAGTGATCGTCACTCAGATGGTCGCTAGAGGTGCTTCCTGGGTCAGTGCTGCACAGTGCGCAGCACCTACATTCAGTGTCTCCACGCTCTGCATTGAGGCACTGATTGTTCTCCATATAGATGCATTGATTCAAGGCAAATATCTCGTAGGTGGAACGCATAGAAAGGAAAGATGGTGCCGGTGCGAATTTCTAAATAGTCGAAAATCTCGAATAGCTGGAGACAAGCTGGGGGAATGGCTATTGAATGCCAGTCAGACGGGACGCAAGAGGATTGGATACATTGAAGGGGGATGTGCCCCAACACAGCTGATGGCTATTGGGATTCACCCTATTTAAGATCAAGGGACTGTGGGATGGGTAGGCTGATGACATTTTTGGCATTGATTGTTATTAATTGTATATTAAATTTTTGGTCCCTCAGGAAGTTCCAACTAGGGAAAGATTTATTTTTAACTTTTTTGTATTTTAACTTATTATTGTTTTATACCATTAAAATTTTGTTACACTACCTATCCATCATGTTCCTGATACCTGCTCGAGTGAATGGAATACTAAGAGTTCTGGATCCGACACCCATACCGGGGAGGATTTCGTTATATGCGCATACTTCACTGATGTCTGTGAGTGCAATTATTACAGCAGTGAAATATTTTTATATACTGTGTTGCACTGTCCGGTTTATTTTTATAGGTAAAAAACGGTTCTGGTTATCTCTATTTCATGTGACAATCAGTTAAAGCGACACTGTCTTGGCCGAATCCCGTTTTTTCTTAACCTCGTGACTCCACTACATTGAATTGACCCCCTAGTCACCCCCAAATGCCGCTCTGACGCTAATTTCAGGGCATGGGAGGGCTTTATAAGCCTTTCCCCGCCCTGCGGAGCTCAGTCTGCGCCGTGCCCTCCATGGGTTAAGATTAATTATTTTTTTAGGGTCGTTTTTTTTCTTTTTCGTCAGACTTTTGTTTGTGCTCAGGTTTTTTATTCAATTTTTTTTTTTTTTTTTACAAGTTCGACGGGCATTATGGTTTTTATTTGGCCTTTTTTGGGGCTGAAAAATTAAGATTTTCGAAAAAAGAAGAGGTCGAATGGTAAGTTTTTTTGTTTTTTACAGGTTCTTAGTTCTTTTATTTCCCCCTCACTATTTTTAGGGTGAGGGGGGTATGTAGGGGATTATTAATTTTTTTATTATTTGGATTATTAATTTTTAATTTAGTGCCCCCACCTGCCGCTCAGAGTTGTGTGCCGGGGGAGGATAATAGGCCCCCCCCCATTGTTATTTATGGCCCCCACCCACCGATCAGGGGTGTGGGGCAGGTGGGGGGGAAGAGGGTGAGGACAATAGGTCGCCACCCCATATTATTTATGGCCCCCACCTGCTGCTCAGGGGTGGGGGTCGTGGGGGAGGAAAATAGGCCCTCCCTCACATTCTCATTTAGGGCCCCCACTTAGGGATGGGGGACGGGGAGGAGGTCAATAGGTCCCCCCCATATTATTTATGGCCCTCACCCACCGCTCAAGGGTGGGGGCGGGGGGAGGTCAATAGGTCCCTCCCCCATATTATTTATTCTTTACTAGACATGCCCCTACTCGCGCTATAGCTAGTAGGAGCAGCATTTACTAATACGAAGTAATCTTTACTTAGTATTAGTAAATTTGGCTGAAAGACCTTTTGGTAGATAGCTCCCTTTGGTATAGGCGCCTTTTGGTAGATAGCTCCCTAATACCGTGGGCATTAGGCAGTTACCTACTAATCGGCTGCAAGATGCAGCGGCGGCACGAATAGGATCGGAGTTTCATTAATTTGAACGAAATTCTGATACAAACAAAGTCCCGAATTATGTCCTAACATGAATGAACAAACTATTCTCATTCTGTTGGGACACAATTCGGTAGTTTCGCCAGGGTCCTGTCTAAGTGACAGGACGTTTGGGAAAAGTGAAAGGAAGCATTGCGGGAACAAGGAGGAAAGCTAAGAATTGTGGGAAAATTTCTCTGACCACCAGAAATAAGCACCCTTTGCTCCTCCACTGGTCACAGATGGTCATGCGTAGGAAACCTCCATAAGACAAATAGTCCCTACTTTGTCTTATGTTTTAAAGAAAACTAGAGCAGACAGAATGAAATCCTCAGGAAGTACAGATCCTGAGAGAGGGAGAGAAAAGGAATCGAGAAGAGGAATCGAGAAGAGGAATCGATTAAAGAAAGGTAAGTTCGGCATGACATTGCCGCTATAAGTGGAGTAATTGTTTTTATCTCTCATAGGCACTTATTTGTGGTGTTTAACCCCTGAAGGACACATGACATGTGTGACATGTCATGATTCCCTTTTATTCCAGAAGTTTGGTCCTTAAGGGGTTAAAGGGATGCTCACATATAGACACACACACCATGGCAGACAGACAGACAGACACACACACACACCATGACAGACAGACCAATACACTCACACGATCACACAGACTCACCTCACACATGTATTGATACCAGTGGGCGACCAGCTTGGAGATTATAGAGGCGGCTGGCTGCGCAAATAGTAGGCGGGTGGCGAGGGAGCTGTGATGTCTTTGCTCTGCTCCCCTGCGCGCCACTTAATGAGACCAGGGCCGGGATATATGACGTTATATTCCGGCACCCGTCTCTCTAAAGGGCGCGTGATGGAGCAGAGCAGAGACATAATAGCTCCCTCGCTGACCGTCTACTTTAGGCGCAGCCAGCCGCCTCCATAATCCTCCAATTTGCCGCAGCCCTCTATGACCCCCAAGCATACTGCCCACCTCCATAATCCCCCAATTTTCCACAAGCACGACCTCCAAGCATGCCACCCACCTTCATAATCCCCCAATTTGCCACAAACCTCCACGACCCCAAGCATGCCACCCACCTTCATAATCCCCCAATTTGCCGCAAACCTCCACGACCCCAAGCATGCCGCCCGCCTCCATAATCCCACAAAATGCTGCACCCCTCCACAACTATCCAGGTTGCCTCAGAGGTAATGGGCTGACAAATCCTAGGCGCCAAGGCAAAATTCCCAGGTGATTTGTCTATGCTCCTCATGAGCGTCAGGGATAGTATAATGACAAACTGATTATCTGCATACAGAAAAGAAAGAGAAAGTGTAATGTCTGTATATACACACACCGATCATTATTATTAGCTTTTATATAGCACCAACATCTGCCACAGTACTTCACAATAATACACTAGAGATATAATACAACACATACTGACATACAAAATAGTGTGAGATACAAAAGGAGAGGAGGGAACTGCTCTAAGAAAGAAGAACAGAAGAGCACGACAAAACGTGTCAGAGGGGATGATGCTGTTTGTGTTTAGCTCTTCGTATGAGAACAGGGAGTGGGGTAATATAGAGAGCAGGGAGTGGGGTAATATAGAGAGCAGGGAGTGGGGGGTAATATAGAGAGCAAGGAGTGGGGTAATATAGAGAGCAGGGATTGGGGGTAATATAGAGAGCAGGAGGGGTAATATAGAGAGCAGGAGTGGGGTAATATAGAGAGCAGGAGGGAGGTAATATAGAGAGCAGGAGGGGTAATATAGGAGAGCAGGAGAGTGGGGGTAATATAGAGAGCAGGGAGGGGTAATATAGAGAGCAGGAGGCAATATAGAGAGCAGGAGTGGGGGGTAATATAGAGAGCAGGAGTGGGCTACTATAGAGAGCAGGAGTGGGGCTAATATAGAGAGCAGGGAGGGGTGATATATAGAGAGCAGGGAGTGGGGGGTAATATAGAGAGCAGGGAGGGGGTAATATAGAGTGCAAGGAGGGAAGTAATAGAGAGCAGGAGTGGAGGTAATATAGAGAGCAGGGAGTGGGGGTAATATAGAGAGCAAGGAGTGGGGGTAATATAGAGAGCAGGGAGTGGAGGTAATATAGAGAGCAGGGAGTGGGGCTAATAATATAGAGAGCAGGGAGTGGGGGTAATATAGAGAGCAGGGAGTGGGGTAATATAGAGAGCAGGGAGTACACAGGATGCTTTAAAGGACTAGAGGTTGGCAGAAACACTAAAAGAGCATTCCATAGAAAAACGAATGACTTGAGACAAAAATTGGCAGAGGAAAACAGGTGGTCATTCGCAGAGCAAAGGGGTCTGGTTGACAAAGGGCATGGGTTGAGGAATTAACTACATTGTCCCATACTGAGGTGGCGTATTGGAGCATTAACAGCCTGATCAGTCTCTACCAGCTCTGTGTGTGTGAATGGTTTAACTCATATACACATCACCTGCATATTTAAAGATCAGTATTACACTATATGGGTTCTTTCTGATTTCTCTTTCATATTGGGTTGCGTTGGTATCAGCGTTGTGGGTAGGCGGGTGTCCTCTGTGTCCGAGATTTGCTCATCGGATTCATCGAAGTCATCGTAGGCAGCCATGTTGGGCTCCAGAGCGTCATGTGCTCGCCGCCAGAGGTCTCCAATGCTTGCACAAGGCCAAAGCTGTTCTTACTTTTGTTTTTTATTTTTCCTGCCCATCGAGTTT